ATTTTACGATAAAATGAAGGGAAAAACACTGTATGAATGAAAATAGTGATAATAGAATAGGTAATTGAGTCTAACTACTTGAAAAATCAAGTCTAATTAGTTGAAACATCCAAAATAGGAGCAATATGAATAGAGATTATAAGAAATTGTGATACAATGGGTCAAGAACGGGGCGAGGCAGGGCGGGTCGAAAGTAGATACCCATACCCCACCCCATCGCAGGTCAGGTCGGGTAATACCTGGCGGGATGGGTTCAAATTGCCATCCCTAATTGGTAGTGATCTACCAATTCGTTTGTTGTCTGCCGACATGTGATGTTTTGGTGTGGAATGGTAACGTTCATTTAAATTTGAGAAATTGTAGTGTTCCTCTTTTATGCAATGGTAATGGTTAGCTTTTTATGCATTGGTATTCGTTTACAATAGTAATGTATTTTCTGTTTTAATTTCATGGTTTTAGGTAAGACAAGAACCAAGAACCCCAATCGTGTAGATTCAAAAAGTAAGAAACATGTGAACTATATAAGTCATCACATGCAAGTTGGAGGTGGTCAAACCTCTCCCGTCACTCGAGCTATTGTGAAGGAGGTTAAGAGCAAATCTAAATTACTTGGCAAGAAATGTAGCCCCGCAGGGATTATATCAATTGTCGAGGATGGGATATCGAAATCAAGGACAATAATGTCAATTGTCGAGACTGTTTTGAACCATTCTTTGTTGCATCGTGCTCCAAAGTATAACTCTATTGGTTCTTGAAGATATTTAAACTTTTGAATATGTTCTCCAATACGTCTAACTGCAATCCCCCTCCAGTGCACGAAGTCCTTGTAGAACTTGACGAATGCTTCACTATTGTCAAATCGCAAATGCTCCCATGTCAATTTGTTCTCTGGTACAACTTTATGCACCTAATCTGCAAATTGTATAACAATAATGAATCACTACTATTGAAATAGTTTATACTATCACTACCAAATCACTACCATTTGCCACTTAAAAACACACACACACACAACACAACAATTGCGGCAAAACAATAAGAAACCAATAAAATCCATTAACGCAAATCACAGACATCAATACCACCACAATACGTTCACCAATATGGTAACATCAAAACCATAATATTAATTCTGCTCGTAATACCAATACAATCAATATAGCTTTGCATTTGTACCAATGCACTCAGTACATTGTACATACATATGACCACTACCAATGCAGATCTATTAAAGTAAGCAATAATACCAATCTAGTCCAACCAATACCAGTCCAATGAATGCCAAAATAATCACTACCATTACAAGCGAATAAAGTAAGTAACAATATGAATCCAAGCCACACCAACAACCTGAGCACACCTTCCCCAAAATTCTCCCCTGTGAGGCCTTTGATCTCGTTTTATTCCCCGATGATATCTGTCTCTTTGCAAGGGGTTGCGAACACAAAGTGGTGCTAAATATTGATGTTTACGAGAAAGCACAATCATCTTATCAGCGTCGACTTGCAATGCTGTGTCCTCCTCCTTTCAACCCGACACAGGGCTTTCTCTGAACAACACCTCCATTGCTAGCCTTCTCTCCTCTACCACGTCCGACGATGGTGCAGTGTCGACGATGGCCATTTCTCCCTTTGAGCGACAACTTTTACACTGTCTAATCCTTTCCAACGTTCTATCTTGGTCTAACAAAACCCTACAATGATTAAACCTCCTTATAATTAGTTTCCATGATTATCTATCCCTAATTATCTACATAATTAGAATGGTAGTTTGACCTAAAATAGAAGCAAAATACCCTTCTTATCCCTAGTAACCACAGTGGTTACTAAGACTAGGTAATCACTGTAACCCCTCACGGTAGAAATAGTTGTAAGTAGGGATGGCAATCAAACCCATGGCCGCGGGTATCCGACCGCCCCCGATCCAGTCAACGCGGGGATGGGCATTGACCGGGTATGGGGCGGGTATGGATAAAACCCGCAAACATTTTGATGGGTATGGGGCGGGTATGGTTTTAGCCTCCCCCGCCCCATACCCATACCCATACTCGCCCCACCAAGAACATTTCTTCACATATAAAAAGTATATTGATTAAATTGTAATCTATCATTAATACCGAGGGTAGCTCATGAAAATAAATAGTAGAAATACAATTGAGTGACCACCCAAATCAAAACATAATTCATTTCCTCCAAATCTTTCTTCATTCCTTGACTTTTTCCCTCATGTTAACAACTTTATATTGGTAAGTTATTACTTAATAGATGTACAAAGTCAGAGAATAATGATTTGGCTTATATTGTTACTCTATCTTATGGATTGTTGGATGTTTTAGAATAAGATGTTTAGAATCGTATTAAGAATGATTGTCTCTTTGTCGACTTTATGAAATAGTAGGTGCGTTAAGTATTACAATTGAAATTTTTGTATGTAAAATTTTAGCTATTATAATGTTGATGTACGGGGCGGGTATTACCCATGGGTACCCGAAACCCACGGGTATGGGGATGGGTTTGCAAATCCTCCCTCCGCATGGGTATGGGGTGGGTATGGGTTTGAATATTTGAAAGCGGGGATGGGGATGGTTTAGGCAAACCCGCCCCAAACCCCGCCCCATTGCCATCCCTAGTTGTAAGCCTGCAACCATACTCAAGCGTGAGAATTTTGCCCTTTTTTTATCTTCGAAAAATTGTAGTTTCTGTAATTTGTTGTTCTTGGTTTTCTTCATCTTTCTTTCTAAAGTTAATTTTAGATAAAGTGGTTGGTGTTATATATTATTATTTAGATTTGAGTGCGAGAGAAATCTGTTTTGTTTCTCTTAGTGTAAAAGAGTGTTTGCTTGAAGAGGAAGATTTTTTTAGCATCTCAATGATTGGAATTAATTCTAGCCTAGCGTATGATATTTAACAAATGGTTTATGGACCGATTTTCAGAAATTTGTAATGAATTCTATTTTAAAGTTTAAAAATGATGATTTAGCGTCTTTAATTTAGAGGTGGCAATTTCAATTCAATCCACCAATCCAATCCATCAATCCATTAAAAGTATCCACCTAATCCAATCCATTTAAATCCAATCCATTTTATCAAAATCCAATTGGATTGGTGGATTCATGGATTGGATCCATGGATCATTGGCAAATTACGGTTTAGTACCTATAATTTTTATTTTTTACATTTTGGTACCTAAAATTTAATTTTTATACGAAAATATCATTGGAAAATTACGTTTTGGTACCTAAAATTTTTCATTATGACATTTTAGTACCTAAATTTTTTACATTTTCCATATTGGTCCTTGGTTGAGGATATCATTTGGATTCATGGATAATCCACCAATCCACTTGATCCAATCCATGAATCCACCAATCCATTAGATCCAATCCATTTGATCCATGGATCCACCAATCCACCAATCCAATCCATTTGCCACCTCTACTTTAATTGCATCATTATGCCTTTCTGTATGTGGTAGCTTAGAAACACCAAAAATGAACAATAACAATTGTTTTTTTATAAGGGTGATATAGGTTATTGTTTATAAATAGGTACTACTGAAGGGATTCGAACATGGGACCTCCAGGTTCAAGGCTAGTAGTATTACCACTAGACAATCCATTGTTCGTAATAATAACAATTTTTTTTGGTAACTCCGTCCATTCGCTTCATTTATAAAAATTAGGTCAAACGGGCCAACGCTTCAATCATACATAATTTTCCAATAAGCGCACATACACATAGGAGGGTTGCATCCAGACAATAGCTATAGACGAGCCCAAGTGTGGGGTATATGATCCACGACCTGTAGAGAGAGCCGCCACATAAAAATTATATTGAATCGAACAAGATCAAATGAACATATTGTTTAATTTTAATCGAACCAACTCATACAACCTACTTTTTTCCCATTAGATCACTCGTATCATCAAGTAAAAAGAGATCATGATAGTTACAACATCGCCTAAACCAGGATGTGAAATACAACTCGAACAAACTAGGAAACACAGAAAGGGTACCACTAATGGGCAGCCTTGTTATAATCCCGACCAATAAAGCAGACATCAAATAACTGGAAATATCCACGAAGAGCAGCTATATCCGCCAAAATGGCCCCACCACTGGCATCCACCAAACTCCTGCATGCATCTTATCAAACACATCCTTCAATTTGCGTCACCAGCAAATAAATCCCTCGTCGCCCCATGTACCCCATGAGGTCATCATAAACAAGCCTACAACTTCACAATAGCGTTCAATTACACGTCTAAAGGCTAAGAAGTTAAGAGAGAAATTTGCAAACTGTTTGGATTGTTCTTTTGATGATATGGACGTGGACTATCTTAAAGGAATGTACATTGTGTTGCTACCGTGCATGGAAGGAGACAAAAGGGAAAAGAAGGGTTTGGTAGATCGAGTGGAGATAAAGGGTTACTCCTAAATCCAATTTATAAAATTTGAAAATTTTGGTTCACAAATGATATTTACCTAAATCCAAACAGACCCATTGATTTTGGGTAGGGTATGGGTGAAGTGTGTATGGGTTTGGAAGTTTGTAGTTGGTTTGGGTAGGGTATGGATATTTATTTTCATAATCTAAATGTGTATGAGTTGGCTATGGATACCCATTTATTCGAAGGAGTTTTAATTACACATACAAAAATTAGACCTTTTTGTAGAACTTCAAAAGCTCAGGTACTAAAATGTAATACACAAAAATTTTGGGTACTAAAATGTAATGTCCCATCAATATTTTGAGGACTTATATACCACAAAATAAAATTAGGTTATAAATCTAAGGGTTAATATTTTTGTAAGGCCTGAACTTTGACCAAAATAAACATCCTGAACAATCTTTTCGATCTATAACATTCTGACCCGAACTATACATCAAAATAAATAATTTGGCCAGATCTGACTTTTGACCGTTAACTTGGACGGTCAAACGCATTGACTAACGATCAACGCGCCATCACTGCCAACTCAGCAAATTTCAATTTTTTTTAATTTACACCTATTTTATTTTTTCTTTCTTTTATCATTTTGAACGAAAAAAATAAATTGAAGACGAAGCTGGAGAAAGGATGGACTTCGAGGATCAACCAGAGCTCCACGAGGAAGAAGACGAAGATGAAGAAGAGTCTGATGAAATTGATAGCCCCTCCAGCTCCCGACCAAATATCAACACCGCTACCGGCTCAGATGAGCAAACGCCGGAGCTGGATACAAAGGCCGCGGCCGCGGCGGGGATGGCGACGAGGAGCAAGTACAGAGAGTGCCTGAAGAACTAGGCGGTTGGGATCGGAGGCCACACGATGGACGGCTGTGGGGAGTTCCTGCCATCTGGGCCAGACGGCAACATTGACGCCCTCAAATGCGCTGCCTACACCTGCCACCGCAACTTCCACTGCCGCGAGAAGGGCGACGACTCTGCTGGAGCACCGCCACTCTTCTCCCACCACCACGCTGCCCTTCCCGCTCTCCCGCCGCCTCACCTTCCCCATCATCCCCCGTCGCCAGAAGAAGGGAGAAGGGTGGTAATCGAGGATAGAGATGGAAGTTTCGTGGAACTAGCGATTAGGGTTTTGTTCTTATGTTAATTTGGGGGTCTGCGACCCGCTTCGTGACGACGTCTACAACGCCCTTCCTCCGCCTGGTACACAAACTTATTCTTCCATTATGCAATCTGTGAAATTGAACACTAATTGTGAAGGGAAAAGGGGGAAATTGAACCAACGTGGCGTTGGACGCGGGACTGTTCGGCAGCGGGGAGTGGAAGGGAATTGGAGAGGTCTCGACAGCGGGAGTGAAAGGGGATTGGAGAGGAGATGGAAGGGTTTAATTTTTTTGTTTTGATTGATTTTTGTCCCTCCATCAAAAATTTGTTTTTTTTCGAGCAAAATTATAAAGGAAAGGAAAATGAAAATATGTGTAAAAATTTTTTTTTGAAATTTGCTGAGTTGGCAGTGACATGGCGCTTTGATCGTTAGTCAATGCGTTTGACCGTCCAAGTTAACGGTCAAAAGTCGGATCTGACCAAATTATTTATTTTGATGTATAGGTTGGGCCAGGATGTTATAGATCGAAAAGATTGGCTATGATGTTTATTTTGGTCAAAGTTCAGATCATACAAAAATATTAACCCTAAATCTAAAGATCTATTAAGTTTAGGTACCCAACTATAATTTGCATAGTTTAGGCTTAATTCCATTTATTGTGATGTATTTAAGATGATAATTATTTACTTTTTTATAGAAAATAGGAAACTATTTATTTGATATGCATAATTGTTCAAAATTCCATGTATATTTTTTGAAAATTCTAGCCCGGGTGAAAAAGAAAAACTCTATAGAGAAGCAAAAGGTACGAAATGGAACTCGCTTAAAATTTCACCCCTTCGAATCCCATGGTGGAAAATAGTGGAAAATGACGACTTTCTAGTAAGTAATAACCTTATATATTGGTTTTTAATTAGACTTGACATTGAGTTTAATAAGAATAACCATATATATTGGTTTTTAAAAAAGTTAGTGATTCATGGTTCATTTATTAATTCTCTAGACTATAGGACAATCATGTATAGACCCATTCATACTTGTGATTAAAATACATACAAATAGTATACTAAATAGGGTTAGACGAAAAAGGCAAAGAAAGAAATAAAAAGGGTTATAGAAGGCGAGTGAAAAATGTAACGAAGAGAAGTAGATGATGGAGATGTTTTAATCAATTATTTTAGTTGGCCGTCAATTAAACATTCAACTCTTTTCACTGTAGCAATTTATTCACACTTGCTTACGTAGATGCTGCATATTTTGTTACATGTAGTTAGTAGAAGTTTGTTTAGTACCTCGTAAATGTACTAAATGAGTTTATAAATTCGCTCTTGCAATATTTTAAAATTTTCTATCTTTTATCATTTTTTAATGTTTCACGTAATAAGCAAATATAAAATGGTCGAATTTTCTGCTACAATTAAGTGATACAACATCTTGTATGGTACATACTAAATTTATACTTTTATGTTATGGTGGATTGGATTCATGGATTGGTTCAAAAGGATTGGTTGATTGGATTCATGGATTCAAGTGAAATCTAAACATTGGACTAATATATATATGTAAAAAATTGTAGGTACGTAAATTTCATAAAATTTAGATATCAAAACATAATTGTTCTATTATTTTAGATTGAAAATAAATTTAGGTTATCAAAATATAAAATGTACATTTATAGTGACTATTAGGTTGTAATTTAATTAAATTTGTGGTTGACTCGTCCAGAGTACCACAATAAATTCCCGCCTAAGGTCCAAGTATAAACCTTAGTCGGGTGCAGTACATGATAAGTATGTTTAAATATCGACCCCGCCTGGTCCGTGTACCGCTACTTTAGTCATTCGAATCATTATCTAGCTACAAGGTTTTGTTTGAAAAGTTTTCTAATCCTCCATTAATATATAGTAGAGTTTTGTAAACTTTTCTCCATTTCAAATTTCCTACAATGAGAGTGAAAGTAGGAAGGATAATTTTGTCTTTACAATTAATTATTTATTTCATAAAAAATATCAATATCAAGACTCGAACCCAGGTCTCTTCAGACAAAGATAGCAATCATAACCAATTATACTAAATGTATTTGTTGTTCCTTTTTTAATACAAAACATACATGTATTTAAACTGGGAAAAGCAGAGAACTTTTCCATCATGATTAACAAGTGCACTAAGTCTACTATATGTATTTTCATGGTGCTTAATACTTCAATTTTCATAGTACAGTTTCATTTAATTTTATCAATTTGAGAATTCATGCTCTCTTTTATTTTCGCTAAAGGTAAATTGGTAATTGGCTAACATGGAAGAAACTATTTCCTTTACTATGTGTTGTGTCCTTGCATTTTTCAATATAAATTTAAATTTTGTGCCTTTTTTATCTTTGTTCTTATCTCTTTCTAATTTTCTCCGAAATTCCCTCCATCGTGCAATAGTTTGCGTGCTTTCACTTCCCAGTATAAGGAGCATTTGAAAATCAACATTCCGGTATCTTTTGGCACTGCACTTTTATTCTTGGGGATTTAAGCTGGACAAGTAGAAGATTTCAACTCTCATATCAATCCATGGCCAATAGAATGGAGTTCAATCAAGTAGTTATGGCATGACCTTGATTATCTCGCTCGATTCCTCTGCACTGGCATCACCCAATGGTTCTGTCTCTCCCCGATGTACTATCAGAAGAACTATTTTGCTGCTTCTATTGCTGAAGGCAATGTTTGATCAGTTATACCTTTCGCCTTTACTCCTCTTCCTATACCAGGCATTGACCTTTAATAGGTTTTCGATTTCCGATCAAGGTTAATCGCTTTACACATGTAAGTTATTCGTTTCTTCTCTATGTCTCATGGTTTTATCTTTCTGATTAATACCAAAGCGACTTTTATTTTCACGTTGTCTCATGAGCACAACATGCATAATATCTATTTATTTTGATCTTATTGCCTGAAACGATGCTTAAAGCTCGGGGGGGGGGGGGGGGGGGGGGAGCTCCTGCGTGATTTCTCCTCTTTCTGTTATTAGGTTTCAACTTCAATGTGTTTCTATCTTCATATTAGGTTCATCGAATTGAACTGGCAGGCTATTATTTCCTTCCCGGTTTATCTAAGTTTTTTTGTTTATGAATGATTTATTAAATATAGAAAATGAATTTGAACGATGGTTTGGGTACTATATTTGTTTGTAAGCAAAAGAGATGTTTGTGTAGAACATGGCAGTTGTACTTTGCTAGAGCCCTGTCCACTTTGTTGTGTGTTTCCTGTACTTTATTTTTGTTCTTTGCTTAGCTATTGAAATAATAAAATAAGATCAAAATGAGAAAAAGGTTTCTTTTCAATTACAATATTTCCGCTCATATTTGATTTTGTGATAACTAATGTTCTCCGCAACCATAATTGTCCTCATTAATTTTTATTCTTATCTCACTAATCAAATTTTGATATTGTTTTAGAATTATTTAGAAATTGAGATTTCATGCAACACTCTAGGAGTTTGAGGTGTTGAACTTGGAGTAGAAGAGTTAGGATTGAGTTTGAAAATGAGAGTGGTGGGGGGAAGAAAAATTCAGCTGTAGCATGTTAAGGCAGAGAAGAGGGAGTTACCGAGGGTAGTGATCGAATTGAGGAGGGTGTTGAAAGACGCGAAAGCAAAACTGGAGCAGTTAAAGAGAGAGAAGTGAGAGATGACGAGGATATTAATAAAAATGGAGAGGGTATTGAAGGACATGGAAGTGTACTGAAGCATGTGAAAGCATACAAGGGGGGAGATGAGCATATTGATGGAATTGGAGATGAGTTTTAGTTTTAGCGAACTTATTACAACTGCCCTTGAGGAAGATGAGTTGGCAAAACACAGGAAGAGGATTGAGGAGTTGAAGAGAGAGTTGACAAAAACCCTAATTGTAAGAGAAATTGAGGGTCGCAGAGAGAAGGTCCATCAAAGTAGCAGAAATGGAGTTGCAGAAGGAGGATTAGAAAGTGAATGTTTGGTTGAAACATATGCTTCTTGAGATTGAAGATAGAGTAGATAAAAATTTGGTCGTTCAATGGAGAGTGGTCGCTATTGGATCATTAGGTTTATAGTTTTTGCAGCTACCACAACCTATTTCTATCTTAAAACGAGTAATCATTGATTGATTTAATGAAGTAGGTTGATTCTTTATTCAACCTACTGAAACTGATAGATAAGGACTGTCTAATTTTGCGCCATATTACTTTGATCGAGTCTATTAGTATATTGGAGGTAACCCAATTTACTTTGATCGTTTGCTCTCAAGTTTTGATGGTCCACTCTTAGCCGAGTTGTTAGTATATAGTTGACTTGAACCTACAACTATCCATTTCTTTTTTATTAGTGGCATATTGCCCCCAAAATGAGAGCATTGAACCATTTACGTAGGATTGTGAGGTTTTAGATTCAGTTTCAAACTATCTATGGGTCGTGTGGGAATTCCAGTGAGCTTTTATACTCTATCTTTCTTAACAATCAACTAACCAATAACATATTAACTGGGCTTAATTATCATTATGAAAATGAGATCAATCATACATCTTTATGTTTTATTTTCTCAAATGATGATGATATTTCTCTGAATGTTCGACCCATATATTCTTTCTTTATGTATCATCTCGATCGAAAGATTGCCAATAAAATTAAACAGGTTGATAGACTTTAACGTAACATAAAAAGTATAAAAAATAAAATATAAACATTCCGGCCAACGGGCCGGAATATAATTAAAATAAAGCAAGACAAAAGTGAATGGTTTTGAAAGCTCTTTTGTGAGAAGGATCACTCAGGTGTCTCTTCAACCTAACTACTACCATGGTATGTGAATTGAAACAATTGTTATGGGCAAGGTGATCGGGAACCGCTAGGGGATGCAAATATGGTCGTAGACCACACACATGATTGCTAAACCGATGAATACATTATAGGCTATCACTCGGCCTGTTCAGTTTAGGCAATCCATGGTTGACTTACTCCCTCACTCAACCCAAGGGTTGGACGGCTCAATTGCGCTTAACCAAATTGCTTAATCCAACATTGAGGTTTGCCCTAAATTAACCTAGTTAGGAGACTTAAAAAGCCCTACGAATACCAACTCAGTTGAGTCTCCCTTGGAAGGGGGGTTTTCCTCTCTAATCTAGGTTAAGTGGATAATTAGATTGCTCAGCACAAATATGCA